AGGTTTTAGTTACTACTTAGAAAACATGTTCTTGAGATTTTTTTATATCTTAACTATGTCAGCTCTGAAGATTGTGTCCCCTCCCAGAAAACATGTTCTTGAGATTTTTTTTATATCTTAACCATGTCAGCTCCGAAGATTGTGTCCCCTCCCAGAAATGTTCACAATAAGACCGGAAGTTTTCATAGCCTTCTCATGTGAAGTCAGTGGGTTTCCAGTCCCGTCCATTGAATGGAAGGTAGATCGAGGAGATGGTATTCTGATTCCCTTGCCAAGTACGAATTTTAAAACTACGATAATCTACTAATTTATTTTCATTTAAATGAAGTGTTTTATGTTAGCAGTGTAAAAAAATAGCAAAACATTTTGATATTTAAACAAATACTTGTAATGACGATACTACATAGGAGAAAGTTAGAGTAAAAATATTTAGATTTAAATTGTTAACTGTGTAAAACAATAAACAATTTTCTACTCTATGTTAATAATGAAAACTAGTCTAAATACCTTAATACTTATTATTCAGTTACAAAAACGACTTTAAAGAATTATTTAAAACGCTTTAGAAATTAAGCATATTATAAATGCATTCTTATTACTTATTTCGTACTTCATATTTTAGCTGATGATTCGCATATTGCTGTTCAGTCACGTGGTGGACCTAGTCATTATGAGGTTACAAGCTGGCTGCAGTTATTGGAGATAAACGTCAAAGACAGTGCCACCTACTGGTGCATTGCCAAAAACAATATGGGTGAGGCTTCCGAGTCTGCACGATTGTATGTTCAAGATGCAGCAGGTGAGTTATTTTAGTCTTTTAATTATTGTTCTTCTTAAATATTCTAAGCTTTTGTAATAAAGTTTTTATAACAGTGAAAATAAAAATGTAATGTTGTTCTGGAAAATTAACATGTTCTCTGGCTTAAATATACAAATTGTTGTAAAAGTCCTTTACTTCATCTATATACTCTGAACCCAAAACCTGAAACAGGCACAAGGTTGAGAATATCGTTGATTATTTGAGGCATCATGGGGAGTGTCTTGATATGCCTCCTTGTCGTTTCGCGCGAAAAACAAAGACTCTCTAGTATCGCCCTCTAGTGGCACAGCAGTATGTTTGCAGACTTACAACGCTAGAATCCGGTTTTCAATACTCGTAGTGGGCAGAGCACACATAGCCCATTGTGTTGCTTTGTGCTTAATTTCAAACAAACAAACCTTCTAGTATCACACAC